GCCGAGGCAAGCGTGATTGGAACATAATTTTATCCTGCGTTTTAAAGCCCTCGGATAGCTAACATTTGTCTGTAGTAACTCAATTTGTACTCCGGCTAGGTGATTTCCATAAAAAATCCATTATGCCCTTTGCAATTTTTGTAGATGGTACCTAAGAGAGTAGAGCCATATCATTGCAGGCAGAATTACATTTTCTGCTAAAGAACATTCCATCCTAATCCCGTTAGGGAATTTCAACAGTGAAGAAATAAATATCGAAAAAATGAAAATTATTTGTTCTTTTTCTTAAAATCTGATATGTAAGTAAATAAGAATTGGTGGCAAAAATGGACCAGTGTTTAAAAAAAAAAAATCAAAAAAAAATCTAATCGGAGCTGGGAATGGAACTCCAAAATCAAATTACTTGTTGTTCTGTTGCCCTAGAGGTAAGAATTTCTGTCGTTAGCCGATGCTATTGAGTCAATGTATCGATCGCAACGGCAAATCTAACATTTATTTAATAAGAGTCTGAGCTTATTGGTGAAGGTTTATTTTATACAGGACATAAGATGTTATGCTACGTTTTTTTTCCTAGCAGTTCATTATGTTTGTTTGACTAATGTTGTACAAGATTTGTGGGCTTATCCATTGGTCGTTCCTTGGTAGAAAAAGCAACAAGGATGTTTAATCACTTGAAGACCAGGTGTTTACGCCCCCTTCCTGTCCAGGCCATTACTCAGTATTCAGCGCTGCGGTACTTTGACTGACATTTATTCCGTCATGCAAAACTGTACTGAAACAAATTTTATACCATTTTTTTGGGGACAGATAGAGCTTTCTTTTGGTGGTATTTAATCACCACTGGGGTTTTTATTTTTTTACTATATAATGAAAAAATTACTGAAAATTTTGTGTAAAAGTTTTTTTTTACATGGTTATAATACAATTATTATTACCCAATTTTTGGGGGTAAAATATAAAAGACGGGGTCACGTCGGGTAAAAGACACCAAACACGTCAAGAATTAAAATTGTGCGCACCCGCGAAATCGCCAAAAACGACCATACCCAAAATTTACCATAGGCAACGTTTTAAAAGCTTTTTGGCTCATTAGTTTAGTGTTATCAGTGATAACGCCCCTAGAATTATTGCTCTCACTGCGACGTTTGCGGCGATATGTAACGTGCGGCATAAGGGGCGCATTCGTCGCTTTGTTAGGCAACTAAATATGAAATATTGCTTAAGAATATTTTTGTATTATTATATCCAGCAAGTGGAGCTCTGTGATTATTTTTCCATACCTGCTTTGCTGGAAAAAAATTTGGTTTACAGAGCTCAATAACTCAAGCTACGATAATTCAGAGCATTGAATCCCTCCTCCTTGGCTGCTTGTTCAAACCGCTTTTGTAGTAAGTTTTAGTAAGAGAAATATATACTGAAGGTAAGCAGCTTTTGTTGGGCTGTTTTTTTGTAGAAAACCCATAATATTCTATGAATTACCCTAAAACTATAGCATTCAATTGAATGTGCTAAAACATTTATTTCTAGGTCTATCTGCAGTTGATTTTTTTTCATAGACTTCTTCCTTCAGCTCCCCCTTCCCCCAAAGTCACACAAATACCTGTGGATTCTACCATGGAAGTCCAACTCCTGCAACTTCTTCTGATAGGGCGACATCTCTGCCGCACTGTTCTGAATTCAGAGCAGCATTGTCACCCTTGTATAGCCATGCCCGCTTGCCTTACAGTGGGATGAGAGGATGTTGCTGGGGCGTGTCTGTCAGCATTGTCACGGTCTATAGCTTGTCAGTCAGCATCTGGCCACACCTAGCCCTGCCCAATGCATTTTAGGTTGACAGCACTGCCTCTGTTGCTAAAAAAAAAACCCCTCTAACGGTGAGCTACAGTGTCAGGGAGAGGGAGCATGCGAGATACAAATAGAGGATTGGCTCACTCAGGGATTGGAAAAAAATGTTTTACAAGCATTGTGCACCACATGGTAACTACATTTGGGACCAGTTTATACTGTTACACAGGAGCCTTTAGAACAGATTTACTTTAAGCTCGCACATACAGGGAGAGCTTGACCATCTAACTTGAACAGTTGCGCTTGTAGCTTAGGATGGAGCTGGGATTATCTTGTCACTTTATCCCCATCCAACGCAAATGCTGTATATCAGTGCTATATATACTTATGTAGATGTGTCGAAAAAGATTTTTTACTTTTTCTCAAATTCTGTGTACTAGTGGAAGGGGTGCCTCTCTCTAGGGGTAACCCCCAGGCATCTCCAACACCCCTAGATTTTCGATCAGTTTACTTCAAAGACAGTATATTCTGAGTTATGAAACTGAATTCTACATAATTGGCTATTAAATAGGTCCCTAAACAAATACAAATGGCTCTCCTTCTCCAAAGACCAGTCTCTCTCCTACCTTCCCTCTGTTTTAACAATGCAAGATGGCTGATTCCGGGTTTTTCTCAGACCCGTCACAGTGATCTGTTCCAACAGAAAGACTTAGGGCTGAAATTTGAGGATTGTGTTTATCTGATCATCTTCATTAACGTACAATGGACAAGCCACCGCAGACCCCCCCACCCCCATAGCCCCTCCTAACATTTTAAAGAAAGAGAAGCAAGAAAAAAATTATAATCTTTAAGACCCTAACCCAAATAAAAACAATTTTAAACTCCTTTTTTTTTTTTAAGCTTATGCAATGTGAATGGGAACATGTACCAAATAAAAATAGGTGTTATCCCAAATTGGCTGCAAAACTAGAAATACACTTTACATTACTTAAAAAATTGCTATAATTTCTTCTTAACTCTTTAGAATTACTGTGTCCTACCATTCCAGTCACATGACCACTGTCTTTGGCATTGGTCATGTAGTCTTTGCCAAATGAGAAAAACAGTGTTCAGGTATAGTCACACTCCCCCAACGATATTTTGAATACTAAGCCGTTGGTCACATGACTGACGGTAAAGGCAGAAAAAGGAAAATTATTTATTTATTGATTTTGTTTTTTTATTACTGCAGGGTGTTGTGTGAAAAAACATGTCTGGCGTATATTATATGTGCTTTTTAAGGATCTGGTCCACATATTATCTAATTGTTGGAAAACTGATAAGCTGACAATTTAAACAGCTACTGTGTTTTTTCTTATTTGGTTTACTTTTAGAAGTAAACGATGAGCCTTTAACTGTAAAGAGAGCAGCAACAATGCTTTCAGTCTGAGCTCCCTAGGGGTAAATTCCCTCTAGCTTTGTATTTGAGAAGTGTGGGCGACTACAGAGCTGTGCTGAAAGTAAACTTGTCACAAACATGGGCAATTCAAACTGAGCGAATAATGAAGGAAAAAAATTGTAAGCAGATGTTACCTTCAGTAACTACTATACGGCAGAATGATCCAGCGGTATAGGAGCAGCTCAAATGATATGCCATTATTAACCATTTCTTGTAATAGTCAAACTTAGTTTTCCAATTCCCACCTCCGCCCCATCTTATCAATCTTTTAAAGTCGGAAATGGCCTACTTAACCAATGAGGAGGCTTACAAGGGACAGCCCATGCTTATAGTGGACTTTTAAATAAAGTAACAAGTCTGATTGAATGACATGCTGAATATTATTATTATTATTATTATTATTATACAGGATTTATATAGCGCCAACTGTTTGTGCAGCATTTTACAATATAAGGAAGACATTACAATGACAATACAATTCAAGACAAGATGGTAAGGAGGGCCATGCCCCAGAAGGCTTACAATCTAAAAAGGAGGGGCCAGTAATAACATGAGGAGGTAGCTGTGTGGATGAATTGTTTGAGACAGAAGTATTATTTTGTGGAAGAAAGTTCTACAATTCCCATTAAAAAAGCAATCCACTGGGTTTGCCTAGGCTAAAATGATGTCATCAGTCTGCTGCAGGCAGGAGAAAGCATTTCATCAGTCTCCTCTCCCCTAGCAGCAAGACTCCAAATTTTAAAACTTTGGAACGTGCACAAGTTGAAAAGCTGCAGCAAGGGATAATTTATATCAGACCCCTGTGAATACAGCCAGCAACTGCACAAACACCAGGATTTACATGGCTGTGTCATCTATGAGCCAGCATCTCAGTCCAAGAAGTAGATGCTGACCCTGGGTGATGGCTAAAACAAGATGGTTCTGTCCTTCTGGCAAGAAAAGCAAATTAAGGCATTGTCAGGGAAAGTACTGTGATCCCTGTAAGGGGTAATACATACCTTTTTCAAGTACTACAATGACGCATTATTTAAAGTGACACTAAACCCAGCAGTTACATCTTAAAAAATAAATGCAAGTACCCTAACTATTAACAAAAAATGTATCGTATTTGTGTATCATTCGGCTGTAGATCCTCAAATCATCTCTGAATTGGTGCCGACACTGCCCTTCCTTCTGGAGGGTGGTTACTTTTGTTCCCCATGGTCCCTGTGTGTTGTAAAGTAGTCACTGCTCCGAACCGACTCCTGTGATGGCCTACAATCTCGGGTTTGGTTTAATAACTATTAAACTAAACCCGAGATTGTAGTCCATCACAGGAGTCAGTTCTGAGCAATTATAATTTGTATTGAGGTTGTGGCTACTTTACAACACACACAGGGACCATGGGGAACAAAAGTAGCCACCCTCCAGAAGGAAGGACCGTGTCCGCACCAATTCAGAGATGATTTGAGGATCTACAGCCGAGTTATACACAAATAAGATATATTTTTGTCAATAGTTAAGGTACTTGAATGCATTGGGAAACACCGAAGACTCCCAGCTGAACAGGAACTGAGTTGGGAATGATGACAGTGAGATGTACCTCCCCATTGGAATCTCCAAGACATAAAAGAAGCCATGGGCTGCCTTGGCCTATCAGCCTCTACCTAGATCTAAAATACAACCATTTTTTGACTGACACTTTCATTTCCATGAATTTTATTCAAAATTAATTGTATTTGTCTATAACAGTTCTTAATTAAGTGTACTGTCTGACTACTGTGTTTGCTATCTGCAGAGGCACGAGAAATTGTTTTGAAAGCACAAATCTTGGCTGGAGGAAGAGGTAAAGGAGTCTTTGACAGTGGCCTAAAAGGTGGCGTCCATTTAACGAAGGAGTAAGTTTTAGCCATTTTATCTCACCTTAGTTAGACCAGCACCTTTTAAAATATTTTTTTTTTCCCTTTTGTCATTCCATTACTTCAAAGATCCCAAAAGTAGTAAACAGGTTTACATTAGCATTACAGTAGAATACGTACCTCCTATACTTGTATTTGTATTGCTTTTCTTCTACATTTAACAACAGAGCCTGTAGGTATTGTAAAAAGACAGACGGCAATGTCACTCAAGCTCTACTTGCATGCATAGGAGGTAACCCCCGGGGGTGCATAGAGAGCTGGCTTACAGTCTTTCCTTATAGCAGTGGAATAAAGAGCAGCCACAGCCGTTGGATATTGCCGATTGCAGTAAAATCTGGTTTAAAGTGTTATTAAACCCGTCATAAAAAAGCAAACAAATAAATGTAGCTGCATACCTTACATCACCATTGTTTCTTGTCCCTTTTTTAATGCAGTCTTTAAAAAGAAATCAGCCTTTGTATACCTGGGGTGTGAAGTTTCTACCTATGGGGGGCCCCTGTGCCTTACATCGTCTCCCTGAAACCCACCTGACATACACGCTTCCCGCCAGGATTGAATCTGTACACTCCACCGCTTTGGGCACACATGCATAGTACAGCCCTCTAGGGTTCTGTTCGCCCAATGTATGCGTACTATGGGCAGTAGTTTCTATCTTGTGCCTGAGAGTACCTTTCAAAAGTGACAAACCAGTCTTAAATCATGATTAAAAGAGAACTATGGGGTAAGTGTTTAACGGTCACAGGAGGAAATATATTGGCATCCTCCTGACTTTTTCAAGGCCAAAGGACATATATTAGCATCCTCCCCGTGACCCAAAGCTCAGTATATCATAAGCGACAGCTTGCGGTATACTGAGATCGCCGCAAATGGGATGGATCACGACAATGCTGTCGAGATCCACCCAGCTGTGTGAGGGACAGCTGGCTCTGCCTATCTAGAGGCAGAGCAAGCTTTGCCTGTCCCCTCCCCCATTCCGTTCCTCCAGTTAGCGCTGGAGGATCGGAGCGTGGTGGGGGGATCCCTTCGCGGAGCCGTGATTGATAGTCACTGCTCTCTGCAGGGAGATCGAGAAGTGAGCGAGCGACGGCATGTGTTCGCTCACTTCCAGATCTATTGAGCCGATGTGTGACAGTTTCATTGTCACACGGCCCGAACTATGAGGATGAGTGATTTTCACTCACCTCATAGTTCTCCTTTAACCCTTTCAAGGCCAAAGGCCATTCATGTCTGGACCAAATTTAGAGCGCCAGTTAACTGGACTGGAAATCTAGTTTGCTTAAATATTTTCGTTATATTGTATGGGACACCGTACAAGTGAGTGGTGTTCTACAAATTGTAGACACAAACTAGTCAACCCTTATCTAGCTTAGTAAAAGCGGGTAAAACATACACACTGGGGTTTATTTACTGAGCACAGGCTGTGCACATAGCAAAGTAAATGTTTACTTAGCTGAGTGAATAAGGTTATGCTGTGCTGAATTTAATTATTCAATTGCATAAAAGCACAAATTCTGTTTTTGTTCAGTTGACCTTGCATATGATTCTTTGCAAAGTGAATATTCATGTACCTCGGCTTATATTCGGGACGGCTTATATTCGGGACGGCTTATACTCGAGTATATACGGTATCTTGTTTCCATGAATTTTGCAAACTTTAAAATGTTTCCTTTTCACTTCTCAAGACCTACACAGTATTTCAATTTCACTTATAAGGTTTTAATTTCATAGTTTTCCTTTAGCTTGACAACCACTAATTTTCAGGCGTCAAGTAATGGGCATGGTCCTTAAGTGTGCTTATTTTTATTTCATTTTTATTGTAGACTTGTTTATAACATTTCTATAAAATATTTCAAGTTTGTCTGGTCTTGGCAGTTAATTTTTTGATTTTAAGAAAACATTAATCATTGCCATGCTCTGCTGGAAATTGCTGTAATTCGGTATCGTCAAGCATTCATTTCCGCTGCTTACATTTAGCAGCTTGAAAAAGACATGTTCGTAAAATTCAGCCTCTTTGAAATTCCAGCAATTGAAGGAAATGTCCCTTTCTTCTCTCCGCTCCCTCGTCTTCAATGTTGAGTCTCCCCAAACTTAGCTGCCTGTTCACTCTTAAAGCCTGCCTAATCTTCAGACTAACCTTCCTTGTATAACAGATGATTGGGTGCAGGAGGTGGTGCCCCAGGGCTACAAGCTCACTATTCGTTACCTGTCCCATCCTCACTTTCTCTCTTCCAAAGTTAAAAACTCCCACATGACGGCTTATTAGTGCCATCGTTTTACCATTTGATATCGAGTATATATGGTCATAAATATGTTTCTGGAGTGGTCTTATGGTTTCCCCACATAAAAGGCATTACATGCACATTGCATCAAATAGCCACTACCATTTGACAATCTGCCCTAAAACGTGGGGTCCACGCTTTGCCATTGGGGAGCGTGACACATTTGCTCTGGTTAATCCTGGGGCAGAAATTACACCTGCCACATTTATATGCGCCTACTTCTTTCGTGGTACCAATGTCTTGGAATGCTCTATAATGGCTGCGTGTCAAATTATCTCGCAGTGAGGGAGATCGTCGGTGTACAACATGTGGCCTAGTGTTGATAAATTTAATAGGGTCCTCAGTAAGAAGGTACCAATATTTTTTTCAAGATCTTCCTAATGTCTGTTCCGAAAAGGTGGTAATAATTTTAGTTGTTTCCATCTTCTGGTTCATACTCCTTCCACATGTTGCTCCGTATAGGAGTGAGCCTCTAATGCCTTCTTAAGGACTCTTTTACTGTACCCTCTTTGTTTCAGTCTCTCTCTTAATGCTTGGCCTATGCAGATAGTGTATGCCAACCTGTTATGACTTCTAGCAGATGCAATGTGGGTCCCTACCAGACCATCCAGGGCTTCTTTCCCAAGGGTCGATTTTGCCATCCTGATTCTCCGTCTTTGGCTTTAACAGAATGACTGACTGTTGAAGCCAAGGTTTTAAGGGACAACTGGCATCTCTGTCTGTGATTTCTACAGTGCTCATGGCTATGAAGTCCACATCCTGAAAGGTTCCTCATCAAATGTTTACTCCAGGAGCTTCTCTTTGCTGCTTCCTGAAGTTGGGTCTAGACCATCGTCTTGTTGTCAGCACCATCAAATGTGAGGTCTCTGCACTTTTTCATTCTGTTGCAGAGACTGTTGGCTTCTCACTTTTTGATTAATACCTTTGTGTAGGGGGGTCTTTCATGTGGTTTCCCCTATCCTTCCCTCTATCCTTTCCCCTGTGACTCCATGGGAGCATAACCTGGTTCTCTCAGAACCAGCAGTTTCAATGCATTAAAAAAGTTTCTCTTTCTGCTATCATCTACAAGGTTGCTTTCCTTATAGCTATCACCTCTGCGAGCCAAGTGTCTGCAATGGTGGCTGTATCTTGCAAAGAACCCTTTTTGCTGTCGCTTGGTGAAAAGGTAGTGTTGAGTCCTATGACTTCTTTTTTTCTCTAAGATCATCTGGATGGCCCCTGGAAAGGCACCCTGGCTTTTCATTCCGCCATCTCTAGGTGTCTCGGACAGACCATTGTTCAAGCTTATTGTCTCAAGGATCAAGTTCCCTCATTTCTTGTTAAGGCTCACTGTGCTAGGTCTTGATCTCTTTGTGGCATCAGGCAACTGTGTGCCAGAGTTGCAGGACTGCCACCCGGAACACATTCTTTAAGTATTACAAGGTGGATGTTTCGGCCTCATCTGATGCCAGCCTCAGGTGTAAGGTCCTTTTAGATGGCTCTTTGAGCTGTTGGCAGTACCCAGTTTTCTGGTATTTTGGGCCTGTTAGTGATTGTTTACCCACCCCTCAGTTGCATGGCTTTTGAATGTCCTCAGGGTAAAGGCTTCCTGTGTTCTTCGATAGGAAAGGAAAAGGACTTTTTGCGCTCACCCTAAATTCTTTTCAAGTCCATTGAGGGACACAGATTCCCCACTGTGTTTATGATCATTCTGTCAGTACTGCTTTGCTAATCACCTGAGGCATGCTGGCATGCTGGTTGAGTAAATGGACTCAAAAGGATTTTAGGGTGAATACAGAAATCTTGTGTTGTAAAGGTTTTTTTTTACCTGGCATTCCTGCCAGTTACATCACTTCCTTTTGCAGGCTGATATTGCTTAGCCACTGTTTTATGATTAGCAGCAGTGTTGTCAGCCTGCCGACTAGACTCCTTCAGCTGGGCTGCCTTTCAGTTCTCTCAGAGATGCAGCCCAGTGGCCAACTGAAGGAGCTTACATCTATGGGACAATCACAGTTGGAGAATCACAGACTTCCAGGGAAGTCTGTATATGTTTCTTGAGGGTAGAGTTTTGCTGATAACTAGTTGTACATGGCTGCCTATCTTGTCACATAGATAAGATATATTTATCTTTTAAAATAATTGTTTGATATGTTTGTTTTAATTGTCTTACAGTCCAGAGAAGGTGGGAGCTCTCACAAAGCAGATGATTGGTTATAATCTGACAACAAAACAAACTGCCGAGGGTGGTGTTAAAGTAAGCAAGGTAAGTTCTTGTGTAATTTGCTTAAATCATATTCGTATGACACCCATTTTCACCTAAAAACAACTAAACAACAATCTTGAAATCTCAGGCTGTTCTGCTATTCAGAACTTCCTTTTTGTGTTGACCCTTGCCTCTCACTCATTGTGCTAGGCCTATCAGTATGATGGACTGAAGACAGGTGATAGATACCTGCCATATAAACAGGGTTTTTTCTTAGATTTTTTGTTTTTGTTTGACCAGTTCACTTCAAGGTGTTCCTGCTTTTTGCTTAACCCTACCAAAAAATCACAAACTGACCCAAGGAGCTTACCTATCTGATGGGATGCCAAAAATGTTGTATTTCTTTTGACTGTGTATGCAAAGTTCTTTGAGAGCAGGACAAAGGAAAAATGGTGGGAGGTTATACTTGTAGTTTTTACTCATTTGCTCAGATATGTTGAACTGGCTATGGTATGTAAAAGTATGCTCAGTCTTAAAACATGCTTTGATAAATAAAACCTGCTGTGTCTTGCACAGAAAGCTAAGCATCTGTTTTTGGTTGTATATTTGGTTTTAAGCATCTTCTAACGGTATCGCTCTTGATCTGCTCTAATTACGTTTTTCCCAGGAAAAGTAAAATGCAGTCTGACGACTGACAAACAGATCACCACTACCCCTTTTTTGCAGCACACAAAATACTTCAGCGAATTTCAAGACCCAGGCAATTAATGAGCCTCTCTCTTGGCTTTTGGCAGGTGTCCATGTTCCCGCTACTGTAGGAAAGGCATTTCTTTTAAAATAGGGAAAACAAAAGGCGCAAGTGATGGTAAAACCGGCCTCATTATCCTCTGTGTTTAACTGCACCTCTGCGCCTTAATATAGAACACCGGGAATGTCACTTCATTAGGATAAAATTAGCATGTTTCAGAGGCTCCGTGCTTAAATGTTTGGATCTCGAAAAGAAAAGCTTGATGCTTCGTAGTTCTAAAAATGAAATGAGGTGTCCTACTTGTTCGGTAGAAACCAGATAAAGAAATGCAAGGATGGCAGTCCTTAAGTTAGCCCATTTAAAGCTCAACTCCAGGGAGTTTAGAAAAAACATTTTTTTCCTTCCACTATACCCCTTTTAGCTAATTGCTAATTACTAGCTAAACCAAAAGCTCATATTACCTGAAACAGCTGATTGTGACAGGCCACATCAGATTCTTCTTCCTTATAACCTGCAGTGTGGGAGGGTCCTCCTTGCTGTGCCCGTGTTGCTTCCTGTTGTGGATGCTGCCAATTGGCTAATGTGTTTATCACAGGCGGCCCCCACTGGGTCCTTTAGTGTTAAAGGGGTAGTGTCATGACATCATGTAGGGGCGGGAGCAATGCCGCCTGCTATATGCTGAGAGCGCAGATGTGCATTGCAGCTATGTAGGATGCTGACAATATTGTTGGGATGCTTCCAGCTGCCTGATCGACAGATGGCTTTGCCTCTCTAGAGCCAGAGCCAGCTATCGCGTACCTGGCTGGAGACTGGTTGGATGAGGAGGCTCCCCTTGCACCATGTGTCCCCCAAACTCTGATGATGGGAATAGAGCCTGAGAAACAGCAAGCAGCACGATTGCCAGTGGATGGGGCCATCTGATTCACGCTTTTTTGGTAATGGACCCCAGGAGAGAGAGGAGGGGACGTTCACCCGGCGGGATGAGGTATGCTGTCGGGTCCCCTCATCTCTCCTGACACTGTCGGGCTCTCGGTCCATGACCGAGTGCCCGACTTTTTAGAGGGGCTTTTTAGAGGGGGTGACACCAAAATGACTGTAATTTTGGTGTCACCCGGGTGCGGGCTGCCTTGTGAAGCCACTAAGTGGGGCTGCCTTTGCACTGCAGGGGTTTACTTCTTGTAGGGCAGCACCAGTGCAAGAGATAACTTTAAATTTCCCTGGAGTTGAGCTTTAAACACAAATTAAGCACATATTAGCAAGTTGAGGGGTATAAAATGTGTGTTTTTTTTTTTGTCTGGGGGTGGGCTTTAAATCTTCCTATAAATGGAGCCTGCCCGTAACCCGAAATACACTTATGAAGACTGCCATTGCTGGTCAAAGCTAATAGCTGTCTGGCTGTCTTGTCCAACATTGGTTTCAATGCCTCTTGAGTCACTGTCCTGGTACAAGTGTAGGAATAAGGAATTATGACACTTGTCTGACGCTCATGAACAATATGCTTGTTCCGGAACTCAAAAAGTATTCACACCGTACAGCAATAATTGGTAATTGGTTGCTTAGACATCATGCACTGCATTGTGAGAGATGTAGTCTTAACTTCTTTTAACTTCCTTTCAGGTTATGGTAGCAGAGGCTCTAGACATCTCCAGAGAAACCTACTTTGCCATATTGATGGACCGGGCGTGCAATGGACCTGTGCTGGTTGGCAGCCCACAGGGAGGAGTGGACATAGAAGAAGTGGCTGAGAAAACCCCTGAACTAATTTTTAAGGTAAGTTTTGATGTTTACTGTTTGGTCTTGCACATTGAACATAGCTGTATTAAAACGGACCTATACCCCCATTGGCTAAATATCACATCAGCACGCAGCTCTGCATGCTGATATGAAATCATCTTACATTCATTATTTAAACAAACATAGTTTATTTTACTTCCAATTACATTTTTTCTACTTCCTGGTCCTCTTTGGCACAAATAATGTAATGTGCCCAAGCGTTGCATGCTGGGAAGGTTACATCAGCAGAAGCATTGGCGGAAAATCTAATCTGTAATCGTAGGAGAAATCAGGGAAAGGCATTTTCCTCCCCTGAGGTGATGTGCATGGTCACGTGTGTCGGAGTTCCAGGAAGTAAACCCCAACTTTTCAAACAGGTTTAAAATCACCTGTGTCTTTGCCGCTTGCTCTGGTCCAAACATCTGAAGAGGCTTGGGCGGCTGCAAAGGATCTTGGGGCGGGCGCATGCGCAGTTCAGATGTTCAGCCTGGAGGCGAGGAGAGACACAAGGTAAGTCTATGGAGCAGCGTGCACCCGCACAGACACCGTGGGACGTCAGAAGAGAGGAGGACAGAGAAGTCTGCGCTGGATCGGAGACCCGCACCAGCGCTGGAGGGACATCTGAAAAAACACTTATGGCATACTGACCTGGCCAGCTGGAAGCACTTTTGTAGGTCCGTATGCCATACGTCCTTGGCAGCGAAAGGGTTAATCTGTCCTTAGTAAAAATGGCCACTGAGAAGATTGGGGAGGAAAAGAAAATACAGTATGCAAAGAACAAAAAGCCAGCAATCCTCTAGAACAGGGGCGCCCACTATTTTTCGTCTGGAGATCTACTTTTCAAATGAGGAGCTCATTGTCGCTGCCATTGACTTCAATACAGCTCCACACCCCCTCCCGCACCTGAACGCAGCGAGTCGGCCGGCTTACATTCCAGTGCGCCCTACATGTCCCGGCGTCCTGTCCTCCCGTGGTGCTCGTGTGGCCGACGTTGCACATAGGGTGTCCTGCACCTTTTCATCTGCAGCGTCTGACACATTCAGCCGGCAGCCGCACAAGCACCACGGGAGCATAGCCGTAGCCATCTCCTTTTGCGCCTGAGGCAAGAAAAAAAAACGTTTTTTATTTATTTTTTATTTTTTCATAATTTTTATTTTTTTTACATTTTCGTAATTTTTTTTTTTACTCTTGGGGGGGGGCTTCGGGTAAATATTAGCGGTCTAAAAAGCCCCTTGATATTTCCCTTTTAAAATAGAAAAAGAAATTGAGGACACATAGTCCTCAATCTCTTTTTCTGCAGCCTCTATTCTAAATGAATGGAAAGCAAAGAGGCTTCCCATTCATTCAGAAAATATTTTACTATCAAGCAGTTTCTGAATGGGGAGGAGCCTCTGTACAGAGTGCTTCTCCCCATTGAGAAACTCATGAATGAACGGGACGTGATGTAAATCACATCCTGTTCATTCATTTATAACTGGGGACACATAGTACTATGTGTCCCCAGTTATTTACAAACACTGGAGTGATCAGCCGATCGCTCCAGTGTTTGTCCTGCACAGAGGATTGGTACATACTACTGACATGTACCGATCCTCTGCCGCTCGGCCACGCACAAATGGGCTCAGCTTCTCCTCTGCATCCCCCCTGCTCTCCCGGGCAGAGGCAGCGGGGGATCCGACGAGAAGTGAAAGAGCACTTCAGCCGCGGGGGGGGGGGGGGGTTGGGGTGTCGGAGCCGCTGTGACAGAACGGACGAGCAGTGAGGGGAGAGAGAGGCGCCGGCTGTCAGATCCTGGCCGAGCGTCTCTCTCTCTCTCCTCACCGCTCTGCATTAGTTATGTGACAGCGGCTCCGTCCTCCGCCCTCCCCCGCCGCCGGTTCCTTCACTTCTTCTCGGATCCCCGCTGGGGAGAGCAGCGGGGATCCAGAGAAGCAGTGGGAGGGTGGGAGGAGAGGACATGGCGATCTACCAGTGATCTAGATTTAAAATGTACATTACATTTTAAATGTGTTGCAATTACTTTTGCACGATATTCTAATTATTCGAGTTTCACCTGTATAACATTTTTATTCAAAGTATTAAATCTTTAACACACTTCCATGTTATACAGCGGGCATTCATCACACAGTTTACAGATTATACTGAGATTTCTCTTCTTAGCTCTGTGTGTTTATCAGCAGCCTGAGCACAACTACTGACTAGTCTGTTTTCATCTCCGCTAGGAGAAGAGGGGATAGATCCCTCCTCTGGGTTATTCAGATCTGTTTTGGCACAATGGCTGTGACAAAGCTTTCAGCGTGTGAAGTTGCATCTTTTCACCATTCACTGGCTGCAGCATCTGATTCATATTATACTTGCCTAAGAAAATTATAATACGTTCAATATTTTTTTTTCTGAATAACACTATACATTCTCTTTAAGAGAATGTATAGTGTTTTTTTTTTGCCAAACAAAACAATGGGTTTAACTCATTTTAGCATAAAGAGTGTTGACTCGCAAATCATTCTGTAGTTCCCCACTGTGCACCCAGAACTGTTGATTTGTATTTCAGGTAAAATTATAGAGTCATGTATTTCCATTATCATAAAGCTGCTTTAGGCTATAATTTGCTCCCTTGAACCTCAGTTGTGAAATGAGTTCCTTTTTTTTTTTTTTTGCATGTGTGTCTGTTGGATAAAGTCTGTTTGAGGAGCAAGCTGCTCTGTATTTAACATCATGTTTAGTAGAGGGCTTTTTTTTTTTGGCTCTTCACTATATTTGTTAATGTCAGAGCATATTACATTTTGTTTGCCCATAAACAAGACAGGGTCAGCAACAAACATATATCTTTGAGAAGTGTTAGGCACTCGGTGGTGGAGAGGGAGCTAGGGAATTGCAATAATTTCTTTTGGGATGATTGCCATTATTTCACCCTTGATAAAACGGAGCTGTCCTGTAGCAGCTCTTGCTGTTCTTTCTCCACCCTCTCTTCATAGTATAAATGTGCATGTCCAGCCAGACCAAACATTGGGTAAACCTTTAAAGTGGCCCTTTGAATATCTTTTTAAGTTGCACAACTGCATTTGTAAAATGTTACAATATACAACAGTAGTCAAAATAGGGCTGCAGCTAACGATTATTTTCATAATCGATTAGTTGCCCGATTATTTTTTCAATGAGTTGTATTGAAAAAAATGATCTCCCTCTCCCCATCAGCTAATCGGTAATGAGAATAGTTGACAACTATTCTCATAATCGATTAGTTGTTGCAGCCCTAATTCAAAGAAGCTGTACCGTCTGTTTAAAATCCATCTCTTGTGCTCCAGTCAAGTGACTTTGCATAGGCATGTAGTTAGTCTGCTGCAGATGAAGGAATGCATTTCCTTGTGCTTCTGATCCACTGACCAATGAGAAGCTATTCTTGCAATGAGTGCTTACCATTTGCGAGCGGAACAAGATCCGGATTGCAGGGCTGCGCTACACGGTAGTCGGGATACAGATAGTACATCGGCGGAGGGGGAAGGAGCGTTTGGCCAAAGTTAATTATAGCGGGGGGAAGAGGGGGCCAGATTGGAGGGTAATTCCATTTTCCCAAACTCACCTGGGAAAGTGGACTTACCCCTTAAAGTAGAACTATGGGGCCAGGGCTTTTCCCCATAGTTCTCCTTAGGGTAACGGGAGGACACAAATTAGCGTCCTCCCGTCACCCTAAGCTCAGTATACCTATCTACAGGCAGAGCCAGCTGTACCCTCCCCTGTCCGTTCCACCAGTCAGCGCTGGCGGATCGGAGCGGGGAGGGGGGAATCCATCCCCTCCCCTGTCACGGCAGAGAGCCGTGACAGGACTGTTAGGTAAGAAGGATCTTAAAAGCAAGACACTGCAGGCTACCAGAGGTTGTGTTAGAATACTTTTAAATACTTTGCTAGAATCGCAGTAAAGCTCGTCCTTTACAAAGTGTTTTTGCAGCTGACAGTCTTAGCCCTCATTCACACGAGAAACGTTTGGCACGTAGAGATCCATGCTGCGTGCACTGCCGTATCGCGGGAAGGAAAGGTGCAGCCTGTTCATTTCTAAGTGAGTACGCGGCCGTACGCCGTCCTACCCGACCTGCACGTCCGTACTCGTACGCTGACAGGAGGGATCCTGTCGGAGTAGGGGCACCCGTATGGACGTGCAGGTCGTGAGAGCATAGGACGGCGTACAGCCGCGTACTCCCTTAGGGAAGAACAGGCTGTTGGGTACAAATTACACGCAGCACCTGTCCTTCCCGGGAGCGGCCCAATACGGCCATGTACGCAGCATGGATCTGTGCAGGCCGGACGTTTCTCGTGTGAATGAGGGCTTAGAAGACCAACATTGCAGGAGATCCGCATGGCTGAACGATTCCTGCTGATGAGATACTGGTCTCTGCTAATACAGGGTTTAGGGTGGAGTGGAGAAGGATTAGAGGACTTTTCTTTACTTCACCAGATTAAGGAATGAGCAGAATGTTGCCAGGTTTATTAGACCTATGAGTGATTTTTTTTAATTTATTTTTTTATTTTTATTCTAGAACTTTTTTTTTTTTTTAGTATAGTAGGGGAGGATTAGAACCCCTGTCGGGCTTTTATTGATGCTTTTGGTAGTGCTGAGCAGGTAGGACAGTGGTCAACTAACTTGATATATGGGATATTGAGTGTGGACCCTGAAATCACCAAAGGGCTGCACATCATATTTAGTAAATGCAATGATACAGAAAGCTGTCAGAGACTACGGGCAGAAACACCCCACAATGCAGGTAACTAGGAAGGGAAGTGGTTTGGGGGTGGGGAGCTGGGAAATGTTACACTGTTTTTAAAGTAGAACTCCGGGCAAAACGTTTATTAACCCTTGCAGTGGAGCTACCCATGCACTGCAAGGGTTAATTGCTCATTTTGGTTGGGGGAGGAAAATAACAGATACACTCACCCGATCCTTGGAGCCAGCCGGCTGTGACAGCACTCCCTCCAGCCCATCTCTTCCTCCGCTGCAGCAATGGTATGTTCTAGGTCTGCAACAACAAATCGACTAAATCGATAATTGATTATGAGAATAGTTGATAACTATCCTCATTATCGATTAGTTGGTTAGAGGGAAGTTTTTTAATGCAACGAATCAATTCATCGGAAAAAATCGGGCAACTAATCGATTATGAAAACAATCATTAGCTGCAGCCCTGTTATGTTCCTCCCCTCCTTTTAGCTGCTTGTTAAAAAGTTATAATCGCCTGAACCTCTGATCTGGCTGGCTGTCACATCTCTCCCTCCAGCCTCTCTCCTCCTCTGCAGTGATAGTATGTCCTTCAGCATCCTCACGTGCTACGGTATACACAATGTACTGGACGTGATGACTTGAGGATCCTTAGACCACTGCAGCGAGAGGGGGGGGGCGGGGGGACGAGCGAGGCTGGAAGGACCAGGCTAAGAGCAAGCTCGCTCAGTGTATCTGGTATGTCATGTCATAATGTCATGTGAGCTCGGTGCTCACATGACATTGTCATGTCATATAATGTCATAATGTCATGCGAGCACCATTCAGTTCTGGGGAACTGTGAGCCCAGCTTTACTGATGACAGTAAATGACAGGCTAGGCTCACAGGAAATGGGCAGAATGACATGATTGTCGTCCTGCCTCAAGAGGATCACCAGTCCCGGAGGACAGCTCTGGAGCGTGGAGAGGGTACGTAGAACTTGGTAACAATGGATTGGGAATGGGGGGGAATCCTAAGAAAATAAAAAAAGAATCACTGGAAGTTCTACTTGAAATGTAATAACAGCACTTGTTTTCTTTTACTTAGAACATGTTTACCAAGTACAGGAAATACCCGTTGATCTTGCCTGGGTGGCCACCATGGCTCCCTCCAGACGTACAGTGGAGGAGTGAGCTAGGACAGGAAGTGCGTTATTCCCAGGATTTATCAGTTGAAAATAACATGAAAGAATTTTGTTTTACGGTTTAGCTTTTAAAATAGAAAAAAAAAAAAAAAAAGTTTTGACAATACTTTAGATTTAGTTTTCTGTTTTGACTGATCATGTTCCTTTCACCTGCCGGGGACCTTGGAACTCCGGTTCTTTTGCTGTACTTTGTATATTGATTGGATGATCAGAAGCGCTCCCTGCCTGACATCCCATCAGTTCATTTCTAGTTTACAGATTGCCCCTTAGAACACATTTTTTCTTGGAATGAAATGTAACAATGAATGTTTTTCAAAGCCAAAACAAAGACCTCTCCCCAAAGCATATTTTGTAATAACACGTCTGGGTCGTGGCATCGGCACAGCAATAAGATTCCGAAGCCTGTCAGAAAAATTAGCAGCTTAATGTTTGTCAAAGCCATCTGCCCAGTAATTAGAAGTGAAAAGCGGTGTCAGATTGTCTTGTCGCTGTGCCACCGTCTTGTTGTGACAGGGCTTCCTTCAAAGCCTGGTGACATAATTATAATGTATCCTTCAGGCACCTGTTTTCAACTTTGAAATCTTGGCATGAGGGCACATATTAATTTTTCATTTATAGCTGACTTAAATTTTTTTTCCCCTTCCTTCTGCACAGTGACTTTCTCGTCTGGCTTAACCGTTCTTTCCCTTTTGTCTTTCTTTTTGGTTTAAAGGAGGAAATAGACATATTTGAAGGGATAAAAGACAGCCAGGCGTTGAAGATGGCGGACAATTTGGGATTCAAAGGACCTCTGCGGCAACAGGTAAGGGAAATAGAGAATTGACAGGCGTCTTCTGAGATGGTGGGGTTGATTTACTAAAGGCGAATAGGCTGTTCACTTTTATAAGGGAATTTGCACTTTCAGGCAGTTTCACCTTAGTTTAGTAAATGGGTGGGAGCTCTGCTGACTTTCATCATCCAATTATGTGCAAGCAAGAATGCTGGTTTATTTTATTTTCCTTGCACATGACTAGCTATTCTTTGCAGAGTGAACATATCCTTACAATGCCTACAGCCTATTTTCCTTTAGTAAATCATCCCCGGTATGTCTTAGAAGAGAACTCCAGGCCAGGAGCTTGTTTTCAGTTAGAGCGGTTACAGTTGGAACTCTCTTCCACAAGCAGTGGTATTAGCAGAGAGTATTGAATCATTAAAAAAAATAATTTAGATACCTTCCTCAGAGACTGTAACATACAGGGGTACAGGTACTCTTACAAACAAGACCACAAAGGAACTCGTATACGCACACGCACAGACACACAAAGGTTCAACTTGATGGACCCGTGTCTTCATTCAACCTCAAATTCTATGTAACTCTAGGCAAACCTTTTTTTTTGGCTTTAGTTCCCTTTTTGGTCACAGGAGTACATTAACTAATGTACTTATGTGACCCAAACTCAGCAAATAGCAGGCTATTGTCCGATTATATGCTGACAGCGCAGAGTCGCGCTGCACCTGGGAAGGATCCTGACAATATTGTTGAGATCAAGCCCGTTGACTGATTGACAGCTTGATCTGGCTCTTTAGAGTACCATCCCTCTTTCGTGCCTGTCCCTCCAATGAGCGCTGGAGCAACAGAGAGGGTAGGGGCGAATCCCTACAGGAAGTGATGACTGACAGTCTACGCTCTCTGCAAGGAGACGCCATGAGCTAATCGATTGGCAGTGTGCGATTGCTCAGTTCTTGACCTATAGAGCTGGCATGTGACAGCTGCAGTATCGCACACCGGCTCAAAATATTGGGAAGAGTTCAATTTACTCAATACTTCTCCTTAAGGTGGCCAAACACATCGATTTGTGATTGACCTAGGTATGAGCGAGAGCAAACAAGAGATTCATCATCAATTAAACAAATTGATCTCTATTACAGTTGGTTATCTGACACAGAGATATTCGTTCAGTCGATCAGACACGCCTAATAAAATTCTGCCACAGCAGATTGGCTTGGCAGCTTTAAAATCGATCAGAAATTAACATAATCGATCGAATGAAGGGTCTGTGATTTACGTGTCTTTTTGATAATTTTAATCACACTGATCGATCAATTGAATAATCCTATCGATACATGTATGGCCACCTTTAGGAACCTCCCCTGTCCAGCAAGGCTTCTTAATAGAAGGCGGTGGTTATAAGGCAGTACCAGCAAGTATGCTCGCCTGTGTAGGCCCAACAATGCTGCTGAATCCTCTGGCAGTGACGTCATCCCACCGGCGTTCGTAGCTCTAAGGCATTGTCGGCTCTGAAGGAGTTTTCGCCCACCAGTTGAACAGACTGGCACACTTGCCAGATTTTCATGGTCAACCCTTCAAAAGAGATTAAAAACAGGTATTTACATTGAGGTTTATTGTTGACTGTATGCAGCAAGTGTAGGAGCAATGTTTTAAAGGGGGCTATTGCATTTCCTTCTGCTTGTACAGCAGCTGTGTAAGCTCCAAGTCTCTTTTAGTTAATGCTTGCACAGCGCTGAGGACTGTCTCCCTGACTCCTAAGCAGCAAGCACCAATATAGTCACACGGGGAAAAGGAGAGCGAGTCACATGGGGGTTAGTGCCACTGAAAGGGTTAATTTTGTTTCTTCCTGGAGTTCATCTTTAAGGTAAACTGTCATTTTATATTTTACGATCTATGTACAAAATGAACCACGCAATAAGTGACGAGAATCTCCCCATTTAAGACATCAGTGAAAACCTATAGAGGACCTTTTATTACCATCTATTAATTAGAGACTGTTCAGTTCTAGTTCCATGGAGCACTCAAGAAGTGATGGGATATCTCCACAGTGGTGACACAGACAGACATAACAACTTTACCAACCTGTTGAAAGCTAAAATAAATAAATTAATTGAAAAATCATAATAAATAATAAAATAAAAATCATTGTTCTCTAGCATTTTAATATAGGTCAGCTTCAACTATAACTTGCTGATCAAGTAACGCTCGGCTGTTTTTGTATTATGAACACAAGTCAGGTTACCGCTGTGTACGGTTTCATAATGAAGCAACCTTGTTGGGAGCAGCGTCTCCATCGGAGAGCTGTTATCTCATGTCGGGAGTATGCCTAAACCACAACACATCAATAACTTAAGTGTTATTACGCCCAACAAGTCAGCCTTAAACAATTGGAATCAGCGAGCAGTTGGATGATACATTCCAGGGGACGCATACATCTGCTGCTGTGCTTCTGTTTCCCCCAGCTTGCCCTCATAGCCTACGATATTCGCTATTTTTTTTCATACCCTTCTTTTTTTTTATATGTTTTTTTTTTTTGCTTTGGGAATAGGAATGCAAGAGCAGAAATGTTCATTATTCACAAACAACCAAGTAACGGTTTACTGTGTCTGGTTCATCTAATGGATGATTTAATAAATCCACGTATGCCAGGTTTATTACAGAGCCGAGCAAAACTTTATTTTCATTATGTTCATAATAGCTGCCTTTTTTTTCCCGGTTGATATTACAGTGGTAGCTGCAATTCAGTTTACCACTGTTTCCTTTGACGCCTATGAACCAACGGCATGCTCAAAAATAACTTTCATTAAAGCTGTGCTGTCGCCTTGCTGCAAAAGTTAAAAGCTGGTGAGAATGTCAAAGTATACTGATAAGTGTGTGTTACTTTGTGCTGTGTTGTGGTGTGCTGCGATGCTTGTCTGTTAGAGCTGCATTATCTTAGGCTAGGTTTGCCCCTACCCGTTGAGATGTGCAGCGGTAATGCACATGTGTTAAAGGGTTATTAAACCCTCGCATGTTTTTGCATATATCTACTGCTGGCAAGCAGTAGATATATGCAAAAAAAATTAAAAGAAAAACTTTACAAAAGGGTTTACACTTACCTGTGTCTTCGCTGTGCACTCCCGTTCGAAGATCTGAAGATTTTCGGCGGCCGCAAAGAATCTTGGGGCAGGCACATGCCCAGTTCGGATCTTCGACAGGGAGACGAGGAGAGATACAAGGTAAGTCAATGCAGCTGCGTGGGACAGGAAGCACCAGGAAGAGAGAGGAGTCAGCATTGGATCGGAGACTGACACCAGCGCTGGAGGGGGACTCCTGAAAACTACTGTAAAGAAAAAGATGATCAGATCAAGAGGCATCATTTAGGATAAGTCCTTAGATTGGTATTGGGGTGGGGGGATTATCCTTTAACGTCGCTTTGTCACTTTTAATACTATGCGGTAACGTACGTTGTGTTTGGCAGCCCATTCAAAATGAATGGACTGCCATTGCACCTCAACAGCCCAGAAATCAGAGCTGCACCTTTTTTGGCAGCAAACCACGTCACAGTGCACATTAGTGCAGCGCAGTGCACCTGTGCCAGCACGGTCCGTTAGGGTGCCATTCAGAATGAATGATATTGCATTGCACCATTGCAAGTTGCGAGCAGTGCTGTAATAATGTAAATGGGGCCTAAGATTGTTTTGAATGGCACTGCAACATGCCAATCTACGTTAACATGTTGCATCGACTACTTTAGTGGCAGAATCACACTTTTACTTTGTGGTGTGTTGTGGTAAAAAGTGCATTGCCACAATACTCCGCCGTGCAAACGTGATTCTGCCCTTGAAAGAAAACTATGGTGGGTAGACTTTTTTCCCATAGTTCTCATTAGGTTTATGGGAGGACATATACTGATGTCCTCCCGTGACCCAAAACTCCGTATATAGCGGGCTATTGCTCTCTATATACTGAGAGCGCTGCAGTTGGGATGGATCCCGACAATACTGTCGAGATCCACCCTGCTGGCTGATTGACAGTGGGCTCTGTCTATCTAGAGGCAGTGCCAGCTATGCCCGCCCCCTCTCCCGTCCGTTCCTCTAGTCAGTTCTGGAGGTTTGGAGATTGGAGTAACAGTCACCGCTCTGCAGGCAAGTGATCGGGAAGTGAGCGATCGGCGGTATATTTTCTCTCACTTCCCGATCAATAGAGCCGACATGTGACCTTTTTAGTGTGTCACGTCGGCTCTAACTATGAGAATGAGTGTAATTCACTCATCTCATAGTTCTCCTTTTAAACATATTCTTTTGTAGGCTTTAACTTTTGCAGCAAAGCGACTGGGTGGCTTTAATGGAAACCTGTGCTGAGACGGATATGCAAGCTGCTGCAGATCTCTGCTTGTTAAAATGCTGATTGCCAGACACTTATAATAATCCAGCAGCTTCATTACTTTCGGAATAACCAGAACAAATATGCAGGTGAAGAGAGAGCAGAGTTTTGGTTCAGTGTTGAAGCCGGAGGGATGAGCATGACAAAGAGAGTACGGTAGTATTTTCAGCAAATCAACAATGGCAACCTGCAGTATTCCATCATCACAAGTTTCCTTTTCAGTTGTGCTTTCCGATTTTTGTTGCTTTTTGAGACTTTGTTTCAGTCCAACTTTGCTACTGCTATATATTGTGATTTCAGATGTTTTTCAAAGCAGAATGCCAAAATAGAAAGTGCTTGATCAGTTTGTAATGAATAAGAAAGGGAAGGACCATTTAAAAGGTCAGTCCACTCAAAACAGAAATTCAGTTGTTTTTTTTTATAGATGCTAGAGAACATAACTTAAACGTTTCACATATCTCTAGGGGACTGTATTGGTGAGGTATCTGTGCTCAAATTCCTGGGTCTGTACATGTGCTGTGTCCATTATGAGGGACTCCCAATCTCCTCTTCTGTAGCAGGAATAGTAATACATGACCATTGTATAGTATAGTCATTTCTGTTGGGTAATAGAGAGCTGAGACTATGGGATGCAGTGTAAGGGAGGGACCCTATGGGTTAATTCCCAGGGTGTCATAAGAAACTCCCACTCTCCCTGCTAAACAATCTGATTGGATGCAGGCATTTTTCAGGTATTTTGAGAGCCAGCAAGACCAACTAGCAAGATACAGAAGCTTGGCCCAGTGGGAGATTCCTCCATCCACACAGTTTAGCGTAGATGAAGGAATCTGTTGCACTTTTTCCATCTGACCATAGAAAATCTGCAGATAATCTATAGGTGTATGGCCAGCTTTAAACAGGAAGCTGACCTGGCCCACCAGGCTCCAGATAGCCAAATTCTCTCTTTTGGGGGAACTGACCCTTTTATTAAGTAATGTGTTACTGGTTTTGTGCACCATTTTCTACCCTGTGGCTGCTCCCATTGATGGTACAGAGGCCCTTTGGTAGTCCAATTGAACCCAGCTAATTGGCAGCCTAGTTGTATGCACAGATTTGTATCGGCACTGTGCGTTGCATTGCTTATATCATTAGGGATGCAGGGTGTTGCGTTACATCTGAGCTGCTGCAAACAGAACCATCAAAAAAAGAAAAAAAAAATCATTCAAAAGAAAAAAACAAGTTCTAAATGAATTGGCTTGTAATTTAGTACAGAACATTGGCTGATGCTGTTGGTAAAAATTTTACAAAATTATGTTTTGAATGATTAACAAAACACACTTTTATAATATCAAATAAATGTTATCTTTGCTAATTAAAACTTGCAGGCAATCACACTTCTTTTTACCAGGACATTAATCAGTATATAATTTTGTGAACTAATATTCAGTTTAGTGCAGCCTAGCATCGTGTTGATGACTCTTTTATAAGCTTGCGTTAAATCATAGGTACAATTTATCCTCAGTTTTCCTCTTTTTAATTCCTCATTTGTAATGCTTTCGAGTGTGTTATGGAACAATTTTATATTTCATATAAGACTCATCCTTTCCACGCGGAGTAATTGTGTTTAATGAAATGCAGGCCGCCGATCAGATTAAGAAGCTGTATGAGCTCTTCCTGAAAGTCGATGCCACTCAGGTTGAAGTGAACCCCTTTGGTGAGACTCCGGAAGGACAAGGTGAGAGGGAACAATTGTTTAATTGTGTTTTCCAAATCATCACAATTTCTTTCCTTGAAGGACTTAACGTTATAGTAAATTGGATTATTTTGTTATTGCTTAAAGATATCAAGCAGAGTATATATGAGGTGATCATGATTTGTATGCAAGTTCGTATTCGCTAAGAGTTGTTCATTCCATCATTAAAAGCTTTCAGTAGGGATGGAGAGAATATAGCTATATTCCTATGACTTTAGTCCCTGAATCATCTCTTCCCCTTGAAATTTGGTGAAGAATAGACAAATGAGCGGGATTGAAAGGACTGCAAACAGCAGTTGGGAAACTTCAGCTTTCCTTCCTGTACTTTCCAGAGGCACTTCGTACACTAAGGCCAAAAGATTGTGGAGACCTGACTATCACACCTAATATGAGCATGTTGGACATACTATTCCAAAACCATGGGCATCAATCAACACTGTCACATGGGGAAGGCGAGAAAATCCTCAGCCCTATGCAAGCTCTTGGTGATTGGCTGCTTAGTCTCCCAGTGCTGTCATATGAGGATTGAACGAGAATCCTCAGCCCTTAGTGATTGGCTATTCAATCTCCCAGCCCTATCACATGAGTATGTGAAAGGCATACTCAGGTCTGTATAAGCTCTTGGCTGCTCAGTTATTATTATTATACAGGATTTATATAGCGCCAACAGTTTGCGCAGCTCTTTACAATATAAGGAAGACATTACAATACAAATCAAGACAAGATGGTAAGCAGGGCCCTGCCCGTGAGGGCTTTTGGTTACCCATTGCTGTCGCATGGGGGTGGCAAGAGAATCCTCAGCCTTGTGTAAGCCCTTGGTGATTGGCTGCTCAGTCACTTAGCACTGTCACATCAGGATGGGAAGAGAATCCTCAACCTCAGTAAGCTCTTGGTGATTGGCTGCTCAGTGCTGTCATATGAAGATGGGAAGAGAATCCTGAGTAAGCTCTTGGTGATTGGCTATTCAGTAACCCATCGCTGTCACATGGGGTAGCAAGAGAATAGTCAGCCTTGTGTAAGCTCTTGGTGATTGGCTCCTCAGTCACCTAGCACTGTCACTTCAGGATGGGAAGAGAATTCTCAGCCTCAGTAAGCTCTTGGTAATTGGCTGCTCAGCGCTTTCATATGAAGAGGATACTCAGTGATTGGCCATTCAGTTACCCTTGGCTGTCACATGGGGGTGGCAAGAGAATCCTCAACCCTGTGTAAGCTCTTAGTGATTGACTGCTTAGTCACCCTTTCTCATGGAGGTGAGCAGAAACTTAATTATTACTTGTGCAGGTCTACAATTTTGTTTCTGGTGTCCTTCGACAGCTCTTTGGTCTTCACCATAGTGGAGTTTGGAGTGTGACTGTTTGAGGTTGTGGACAGGTGTCTTTTATACTGATAACAAGTTCAAACAGGTGCCATTGATACAGGTAATGAGTGCAGGACAGAGGAGCCTCTTAAAGAAGAAGGTACAGGTCTGTGAGAGCCAGAACTCTTGCTTGTTTGTAGGTGACCAAATACTTATTTTCCACCATAATTTGCAAATAAATTGGTTCCAAATCAGCCGATGTGATTTGTCTGGATTTGTTTTCTCATTTTGTCTCTCATAGTTGAGGTCTACCTATGATGCCAATTACAGGTCTCTCTCATCGTTTTAAGTGGGAGAACTTGCACAATTGGTGGCTGACTAAATACTTTTTTGCCCCACTGTAAGTCACAACTTTGACCTTACACAGGGCTTCTTACATATAGCCCCTGGCCACCAAATGAAGCGATGGTGGGGGATGGGAGGGACACACACAAAGACAGCCAAATATGTTCAGTTTGAAGGGCTGCCGTTAAGGTGAACCTGTAGCTTTATCCTTAACAGTCCCGCTCACTATAAGAAGCATTATCTGGCTTTTTACTTTGACAGCGATCACATTTAGGTTCAGGAAATTCATTAACCTTTCCCCATGTAATAGCTTAATATAATTTACATATATACTGTATATTGCAGTGTGGGATGGTTCTAGTGCTTTTGTCCTGGGGTGAGCAGGAATTCTGCTTTAAATCATAAATGTCCAGAACAAAGAACAATTTTGAATCTCCAGTTCTCTTTAGCTTAAAAAAAAAAAAGTTTATCTAAATCGCAACCATGATGCATGATTCTCATTCAGTGGTGATTTATACTTTTCATTATGTCACGTTAACACTTATCAATGTTCCTAGCGAGGCTGATGTATCAAGTGTGGTTTTTAATGTGCAGAACATCCATATATTAAACTCCACAGATCAATCCAGAGTACTTGACAATACCCTTTTTTCCCCTCTTTGCAAAGTTTTGAAATCAATTTTTGTGCAAACTGTAGTAATCATTCTGTCTGCACAGGCCGGTGCCACTTAATCAATGCCGGTGAATTGGCAGCATGCTAAGGAGAAAATAGTCTTCTTTGGGAGATTAAAATCCTTAAGGTATTACTTTCATAACTAACAGGCATACTGCACAATGCTGAAGCCTCCAGCCTAGGCGCTCGTTAAATTACTTTGTGAGTTCTGGGAAACACCATTTTGTGTCACCGCATGAATTATGGGACCACTTTTTCCTCACTAGAGGGGGGGGGGGCATGCCGCTTAGCTGGCCCTGGGCCACC